ACAATCATCCAAACTAATTAATATCATGCGTGATACAGTTTATAGTCCACATTTTCAGTAAGACTTTCTTCTCCATCAAAACTTTTCTATTTTACAATCATCTTATCATGAAAAACCTGATAATAACAGTCTCTTGAAAATTTTCGAGAATTTGAGATTGCCCGTAAGTTTTTTTGTTAGTTCATATCGACAACGTTTGAGGAAACGAATTCAACAAGGAGCAAACCTATTAGGATGTTTCTTCAATTTTCTCTTCAAGAAGACTGCTCCAGTATGGAGGAGAATATCGACGATGTGGGTGTGATTGTCAGTTTTATCAAAAGTCACACCCACACCCACACCCTTATTAAATTCTTTTTGAAAACATGAACAATTTCTATATTTTATTTCAACTATATTTATCTAAATGAAATCCTATTTGACTCTTATTTCTACATAAGATTTATAAAAACATATGGATAAGATATCTAATTATCTTAAATTAACATTCAATGTTTAGAAAAAAAGACTTCAATATATAGACAAGAGTCTATCATTTTTTCGAATAGTTAATTTCATTACTTGAATTTAAATTTTTTGAATATTCTTTTAGATTTAAAAGTGGACTACAGACAAAACTTCACATGAAAATATTATAATTAAGATTTATTCATCGATTTAATTTATATAATGAAATTTTCAATAGAGAAGAATGTAATAGCAAAATAAAACATGATTTACTGATTGTTGATAATCTTAACTAATGTGCAGTTTATTATAAATCTATCAAATCTTTTGATTTGCTTTTATTTTCATAGTTGACTATTTAATCAATCGATTTATGTCATCGTTCTCTAAAACACAAAATATACAGAAATTTTATCTTACAATAGAAACAGCGAAAATGACAACATTTATTTAAAAATACTACAGAAATATTGTCTCGACATAAATAGATAAATAATCTTTCGATAATGTGTAAAAAGTAAGAAATTCACACAACATTGTATATGATGAATCTCTCATTATATATTCTTAAATCAAGACATTAAAACCGATGTCGTACTTATTGAATTATTAACTTTTTATTTAATTAAATAAATCTTTAACTAATATATTCATAGATTATTTTTCTTCTAGTTTATAATTTTAATTTAACTAAAAACTTCTCTTAATAAATCTATATTATTACAAATGAAAATAATTTTCAATCAATTATATTTGATTTATCTATACAAGTAAGGTTCATCGACGTTAAAAGTCGATTTACTGGGCCCTCGACTGAGCAAATGAGGCAACTACTAGTACATTGCACTACGAAACATTTTCATTCAAATTCTCGATATGGAGAAGAATGTTCCACTTGCTTAGAGTGACATTAACAAGATGAGATGAACTAAAAGGATTCAGCGAAAAAAGCGATGGGAATAAAACTAACATATAATACAATCTTTTAGTCACTGAAAACATTCTCTTACACCATTTGTTTTAACGACATAGTTCCTTATAGTTACGTGTATTTACTTTTAAAACGGGCAACTAGAAATATCCCGTATATTCGATTGATATCAGATTTATATATGTTCTTTTATTTACCATCACGAACATCAGGGATAAGACACAGACAGAGTAGAATGTGTACGACAAACGTGCTTTAAGGCATTTGGCTCCACATTACCTGGAAAGAATCCGCCGAATCAAAAACAAAAAGCATGTCTTACTAACTGCTACTAAATATTCAGCTGTTTATCAAAGCCAAATATGTCTGTTCATATGTTGCCGATCATCCAGTCTGACATTTGAACTTTCATTATTGCGACCATTTACCAGTTTTTCATGTCCGAGCACGGCTCATATTTTCTAATACTCGAAATAAATTACTCATGTCATCGCCTAAAATACTCTTTTATTGTTCATTCTACTTATTGCATCCTATCTGACATTATACTATGTGTACCTAAAAACCATTAGGATAGCATCTTCGAAAGATATATTTCGAAATGCTTCTTTGTCTTGATGGTACTACATAACCTCTTACTATGCTCTACTGCTCATAATTCAAACACTACGATGTCTCTTTTCCCAGCCAGGGCTTCATGTATGGCAAAATCACCTTTCTCCACTGCTGAAAAACCTTTCAAACGCCGTGATGCATACATCATCATATTTTTTACTGTTCTCCATAAACTTCACATTGAGAACTCAAACTCAATGAAGCACAAAGCCTTTTTACATCACTTCCGTGTCTTCCATACATACACGCGAAAACGATCTCATTGCTTACGGTAAAACAGTTCTTGGTCAGTAGACTCGTAATTTGCGTGAAAAAAGCTTTTGTTGCCTTACAAATGACCATTTGAGCCGTGGAAATGATCATTTATGCCTTGGAATTGGACATTTGTCCCAAATAAATGGTCATCTGTGCCATAGAAATGGTACTCTGTGCCATACAAATGGTCATTTATGCCATGGAAATGGTCATTTGTGCCATAAAAATGGTCATTTGTGTCATGGAAATGGTCATTTTTGCCACGGGAAAGATCATTTTTGCCACAAAAATGGTCATTTTTACCGCGGCGGGTGTGGGTGGGTGTGGGGTGAGTGGGGTGTGGGTGTGTGTATCGATTTTCATCTGTTTACCCACACCCACCCCACCCATACCCACACGCGTTCCAGAGCTGAGATCAATTTTTGAGTGGAGGGGGGTGGGGGCTTAATGACTTTGATCCGCCTAGACTACATGAAATGTTAATAAGGTTACTGTTCTTGATGCTTTCTGAAGGTGATAAAAAAACTAGTAACCTTCAAGAATACCTCGTTGACTATCTCATTTCAATTTTTTACGTTCAACTTTTTGAAGAACATATTTTTGAAAACGAAGCAATAGTTACAGCTAATAAAACGATTTCACTTGTTATAGATACACCAATTTTTGTTTTCTTACTGTTATAGGTGATGGTGTAGGCGAAGCAATCAGTTCGTATAATTAAGTTCTGGATAGCAAACGTGTTAAATTTTGTCAAAAAAGCTTCAAAATATAAATTTTTATGTACTTATCAACGTATCTTTGATATGCAATCAAATGGATTATTAATCGTAGTTCTATCATTTTAACAATGATTTTATTAAATTTTCTGTCTTCTAATTAAATTAATCGAATAAATTTTCTACTGTTTAAATTAGATTAAAAATGAAACATGATTGTGACGAATAAGCGGAATGAAACAATGATTGAATAAGTTCGACCTATATTGGTTTTTTCAATCTATTCCTCTTCTCAAGGATGGTACAACAGCACTTCACTGACTTAGGCTTTACAATACTCAACTTGGTCTGAATAGAGTGAAATATACAAAAGAAAAATTTAACAAAATTGACATTATTTCATGAATAAATTTGTTAAAATATATTTAATAAAAAAGCATAATTATCAATATACATATGATATGAAAGTTTTTTTCCAAAATTGTTTTAACAGGATGACATCTATTTTCTTGATAATAAAGGGTGTTCTGGAAGTTCTGAAACGATTTTAAAATTTATGGTTCTCGCATTCAACAAAAGCAAAGTCTTTGAAACTTTGACCAATTATTGCACATACATAGTACTACATAACTACAAAGTTTCAGGTCTATAGCTTGTATCATGGATGAGAACCAGTAACAACACTATCATGTACTGTTTTTTAAATTTTCCTGTATGCCGAGTGTGCCGAAATGTCCATGTCTCAAGTTAGGTAGATAATAAAATCTTGAATTTGTTTTTAAAAGATGCGCCATGAAAAATTCTACAAAAACTGTAATAACAAATCTCTATTGATTTGTGTTAATGGTTTCTGCCGCAATCAAAATGAAAAAGCTACATGACAGTACTATTTCTCACGATATTGCGCGTAATAAAAAAAATGTTTGGAAGACTGTTTTGTTTTGCATGTATCTCAGCTTAAGAAAACGATAAACTTTTGATCTGTTTTTCGAAAGATGCGCCGTTGAAAACTCTACAAAAGCTGTATAAACAAAAGTTCCTATTAGAAAATAAAAGAGTCTTTCAAAACTTTTTTGAGTACGTACAATATCGTTACAAGTAGTACTATCATATAGGTTTCTCATTTTGAGTGTAGCCGAAACCATTAACACAAGTCAATAGGGATTTGTTATTACAATTTTTGTAGAGCTTTTAATGGTGCATCTTTAAAAAAAATTCAAGCTTTTATCATCTACCTAAACCGAGATATAGGCGAAATAAAAAAATGTTGCAAACATTTTGGCGCACTCGGAAGATGATCCGGCAAATTTAAAAAACAGTACATGATAGTGTTGTTACTGGTTCTCATCCATGATACAAGCTATAGACCTGAAACTTTGTAGTTATATGGTACTAAGTATGTACAATAATCTGCCAAAGTTTCAAAGACTTTGCTTTTGTTGAAGGCGAGAAAGATAAATTTTAAAATCGTTTCAGAACTTCCAGAACACCCTTTATATATATATATATTGAAATTGATATTCATTCATGATAAAAGGCTTCAAAAACGAAATAGAATGCCATCGAATAACAAACAGAGATAAAAAATAATGAATGATTGAAAAACTAGACGTGGCAAGAAATTCTTAATTATTCGAAAGTACAAAAATCTTTGTATTCATTCTATCTGCCTTCTCTTGCATTGTATGGAATAGATTAAGAATAATAATCAAATAAACACATATTTGTTCATTCGTGTCAATTTTTCATGGTGTTCGTACATAGAAATGGCTTTTTTTCGAATAGTTGAACTAGTTGAAATTTTCATCAAATGAATTTTTCACCAATAATCTTCAATATTTCTGTTCATTGTAATATAGTATGGAGGTCATTATATGTCTACAGCGGTCAAACAAGTTTTTATTTCTATAGTTGATATAAAGAATGAACATGTCAATAAAATAGAATTTCATAAAAAAGAAAGAAAAATAAATGATTGATAAATTTAAAAGCGTTATTCATATTATTTTAACGTGTTCATCGATTGGAAATAAAAAATGAGTACAGATATTAAACATATCGTTGATAATATTGGTAAATATTGTGTTTATTATTCAATATTCAAAATCAACTTTTTTGTAATATTCATTGATTATTTTGTTTATTATGCTTGCTAGAATTGAATTCATCACCAATAAAAAATGTTCATTGTAATGTAACTTGTTTACTTGATTTACCAAATGAAGTTTTACTTCTTATATGTCGTTATATGTCATCATATCATATTCTCTATTCATTTTATACACCTTCAACACCTGAAATGCGTCTTCATCGTGTTATTTATGATTATTATACAAAGATAAAAGTTGATAGTATAACAAATAATGAATATATTTATTTATTAAACTTATTTTCTCATCCAAAAACTCCTCTTCGACCTGAATCATTAATATTGAGTAATAGAAATGTCAGTTGTGTAATTCAACGTTATTTTGGTTATTTATGTAGAAATATAATTAAATCAATATTTATTAATTTAAGATATCTTACATTAATCAATAGCTCTTCAATTGATCTTAATACAATTGAAAGATATGATTTAGATATGACACAAATCAAATATTTTCATATAACTATTCGTAAAACGAATGAAAATTTTAGTAAGTATATTTGAAAAAATTTTTTTATTATGATTGAATTAATAAATAAAGACAAAGAAAAATGTTTTATAGTTACATTTTTTTTTCTGTAGAGATTGAACAAAGATCTTAATATTTATTGAATAAATTCTTTCACTTTTTTATAATTAACTGCAATGAAGAAAAAAAAAATTCTAATTTTATCTTTAGATCAATTTTTCGAAGACAAACCTGATGCATCAATCAATCGATTTTTATTCAGCAGACGACGAATGTCTTCTTTAAATAAAGTTACCATTCGCATTTCTGATGGACTTATATTATATAAGACATTGATTCCTCATCAATCTCTTCGTTACATTGATTTAGTTTTACAAACTATCAATGATTTATATATATTACTTGATGAACTTGTACCTAATGTAGAAGAAATGATTATTCAAATACGTAAACCACAAAAACGCTGTAAGTATTTTTCTAATTATCAATGCAAAAAGATTCTATTATGTAGGCTTTTATTGACAAGAGTTTTTTCAATTAGAAAAATTCTATCTTGTGAAAAAATTTCAATATTTACTAATATTAATGATGGATCTATGAGAATGATTGTTCACTTTTTTCTTCCTAAAATATTTTCGATTATTCTCAACAAAAATAACTCATAGAATGCGTTAATACAATTTCTAAAGGACTTCATAGCACGTATTTTTTTTACTATGATTGGGTACTTATTCTTCTCTTCGTTGAAGTGCCTCTCTCTTACCAACATTATAGATTCAACATTAATCCATTTCTTTTTCAAGTAATAATCATTCTAATTGTATTTTGTGTTTATATTATAGCTTGTCGTCGTTCTAAAAAAACATTATCATATTTTCGATTAATTGAATTTACATTATTTGCACATTATATTGAATTTATTATTAATGATATTAAATCTATTCTTAATTATATGCCTGCATTAATTAAACTAACATTAAGTATACGTGATACACATGATTCAATATTCTGTGAAGGTCCGAAATTAGAATCAATATTAAATAAACATTTACCACACCTTCATCAATTTGTTTATACAATGACACATGAAATTCATAATCAAACATTAATTAAAGATTTTATTCAATGGCCAATGGACATGGTTTTTTATGAAGATGATAATAGTAGATGGATTCATATATATTCATTACCATGGCCATCAAATAAAAATGATAAACGTCGATTACCTCTTGTCAGCAACGGATATAATACAACAATTACATCAAATGTAAAAAAACCTGAATATATGAATCATGTATTGATTACAAAACATAATGAATTATACGAACTGGATACACATTTTGGTCGAGTTTGTCAAATAAAAACTTGTTTATTAATTGATATAAAATTACCAACACGTATTACTAAACTAATTCTTACAGAAGAAGCTCGTAAGATTTTTTCATTAAATATAATGTATTGAGAAAAAAACACAATCTTAATTTGTTTTAGATATTACTTTAGAGACTTTGACAGTACAAACTTCAATTTGTCATTTAACTGTTGAACGTCGTTTAATTAATGAAAGAGAAATTTCAATTCTTGCTCATCAATTTCCTAATGTTAAATATTTAAAATTATTATTTACATTAGAAAAATCTTTATATATTCGTTGTTTTCAGACATTATTTGGTGTTGATAATAATATTAATGGGAATCGTTGTTTTTGGCCGCAATTAATAGATTTTTCAACTGATTTTTATAATGAATCAAATATAATTATGGATGATAATGATGTTAAACATTGGCTTATTCAAAATACAGATATGAAATTTTATAAGTCTGAATTTTATGCTGATTGTTTTAATTCAACGTTTCATATTTGCTTTTGATTTTTTTTTGTTTTATTAACAAAAAGAATTTGTTCTAATTGTTATATTAAAAAAAACAAACAAAAATTTACAGAACTATCAAGTGTGAAAACTTAATTTAATTATTGAAGACGTTTAGATATTCACCTATTCGATATAGATATTTTACATATATGTTTTTGTGACACTCTCAACTAGAACAATGTTCTGTATGTGTATTCTATGAACAGACAAGTATCTAAATTCCAGGTTTTTTTTAAGGGGTGTGGTTGAAGGTTTCTTCTCCGATACTCACACCCACACGTGCCTGAATACAATAGAAAAAAGAGTTTAAAGCAATCGAATAACATTTATTGAGAAGCAAAGAAAAAAATAGTATTCGCATAGTGTTTTACGCATTTGAGATAATGTTAAATTTTTGTACTCAATGATTATCGTAATCTACGATACAGATATTTCCGTGTCGATCCAATGACAAATCGATGGGACAATAGAGTTGATTCGATTGCCCTCCGTTTCCGTTTTCACCAATAATGACACTTCCTTGTGTAGCTCCTTTGGGCCAACGCATGATTCGATGATTCTTCAAATCAGCCACATAAACAGTGCCTAATTGATCGACAACGACTCCTCGAGGACAATTCAATTGTGTAAGATCATTTTCTTCTCCTTGACCGCCAGCCACTATAATGCCTTGTGTTGCATCTTTCATCCATTTCATCACATGATGATTTCCGTCATCAGATAAATAAACTAATTGATCTCGATCGACAAATATGTATGCTGGACCATTGAATTGATCGAGACGATTTCCACATCCATTGCCACCTGCAACTACTGTTCCTTTCGATTCTCCTCTTCGATATCGTCTTCATGATTTTCATAGTCAACGACAAAAAGAGATCCATTGTCGTGCATTGTCAAACCCGAACAAGCGATATTGGATATAATTGTTTCTCTACTTGTCCCATTTCGACGAGGCCATTGAATCACTCTTCTATTCCCATAGTCGCATATGATGGGACTATCAGTCTCTTTGTGAACAATCACATTATATGGGTAACACAATTGATGATCTCTACTTCTTTCTCCATTTCCAACGGCAACTACTTCACCACTCGTTGCACCCAATTTCCATTCCATAATACGTTGATTGTATATATCAGCAACATAGATTGTGTGTTCATCATTAACAAATAGACCCGATGGGTTGTCAAGTTGGGTGTGGGTGCGGGTGGGAGGGTGTGAGTGTGGGTGTGGCTGACTGTGGGTAAGTGTGGGTGTGGGTGTGGGTGTGGCTGACTGTGGGTAAGTGTGGGTGTGGGTGTGGGTGTGGATGCGGGTTTAGGTGTGGGTGTGCGTGGATGTGGGGTGCTAGTGTGGGTGGATGTGGCGTGTGAGTGTGAGGGAGTCCGCGGGTATTGTAGTTTGCTTTACTGAGACCCACACCCTGTGAGTGAGAATTTGGTTTGTTGAAGACATGATTAACACAAACATTCATACTCCACTCAAGGCCTTGTTATTTTAGCAGTGAGAGTGTTAATTTAATCCGAATAAGCCTGGTCAACCCGATTAAAAATTCAGACGGCTCTGTAATAAGTTACGGGTCAATCAAATAAACTCAACTCAAGCTTTTCACCGACTGATGTATGTCGAAATAATGGCTAGTATGTATAATGTAATTGATTCATATCTTTCGAAAGATCATACTCTTGAAAAATAAAAATATGTATCTAGAATAGAAATATCATTTGGTTTAGATGGGGAATGGATCACCTAAGTATGAACGTACAGAATATAAAGATACGAATTGATCTATTACTGAGAAGACAAAGTTTGGATGAGATAAAACATGATTCTTCTTTCTATTTTGCCTAAATATTGACATAACATGATTCATGCAAACTTTGTATTAGTACTATTGTGTGAAAAATGCATCATTGGATTACTAGATGTATTGATATTGACACAAGTAACACTATGTAGGCGAAAAGTCGCTTTCCTCTAAAACACCCACATTTTCTTGAATCTGTCCTTTTAGCAGCGTTCGAGACATGATTCACTGCATATGCATTACTTTTCTTATTGTAAGAACATGACATTTATGAAGGGTCATCTTATGAATGATTACTATTGACAGCATGTGACTAATATCATATAAACGATGCAGTATATAAACTTATCTGTAGAAAAGCCTTTTTAGTTATTATTTACGTAAATGTATTTGTAATTAATCAGCACAATATTGTAAAATTGTGGTTTGATCTTATTCTTGATAATCTTCATTAATCTTAATTAATTGTACAGTTTAACAATAAAACAATACGTAATTCAAATTAATTATTACTATTATCAGTAAGAAATTCAATGTCACTCGATTGGGACAAACGATCTAATCACGACGATGGATCTGTCCTCGAAAATCTATCTGAATTAGGCAATGCACTAAAAAACGAGCTACTTGGACACCGAAAAAAGGAGAACAGTCGTAATCAACGTGAACGAAACCGTCCGAAAAAAAATAAAGATTCTAGTGATTCATCCAATTCCAGCTCTAGCAGTGGAAACAGTAGTTCTTCTTCAAGTGATAGTGATAATGATTCTAAAACAGATGCCAATCTAGATTGCTGTTGTCATCGGCATCAACATGAATGTAATTCTAGAAGTCATCATTGCTGTTGTAACAACTCGACACATTGCCATGGATATGATTCGAAAGGTCATAGTTCTCCCAGGAGTGGATCAAGAGAACGCCATCATCGCAGAAGTGGCTCAAGAACTCGTTATCATTCTAGCAGTGGTTCCAGAAGTCGACATCGTCATACCGGTGACTCCGGTCGTGGTAAACATAAAAAGAAACACTCACGTGGTCACCAAAAGTATCGTCATTGTTGAAACGCTTATAGTTTGCTTATGATCTTTTCTTTCTTCTATTGGGTTGGCAAGAAAGTTTTGTCGTTTTTTTTTAAATTTTCATTTTATTTTTTCTTTCAAACATCAAACTAGTTTGCAATGATATATGCTCCATCGCTATCTACGACCTGCCGCCAACGCTCTGGTAGAGAAAATATCCCATGTTCGTAAAAGTCAAGAGACTTTTGGCTGAAAAAGTCAGCCAAGTCCGTTTTGAGATTGCTTCCGTCATCGAACTTTTTCTCACGCAGGTGATTGGAGAGAGATCGAAACAAGTGATAGTCAGTAGGAGCCAAGTCCGGAGAGTAAGTTGGATGAGGAATGGTAACCCATCCTAGCTTTAATAATTTTTCGCGGGTCGACTTTGCAACGTGTGGCCTTGCGTTATCATGTAAAAAGTAAACCCGATCTTGCTGGCCCTTGAGTTTTTGTGCAACACGATCCAATTGCTGACAGTAGAGGTCGGCGGTAACGGTACATACATCCGGTAGCAGTTCCCAATAGATAATTCCTTTAACACCCCACCAGATACTCAACATAACTTTCTCGGGATGGAAATCGTTTTTTTGTGTTACTGTACCGGTTTGACCAACGCTAAGCCATTGGCGCTTGTGCGTATAATTAATATAAAGTACCCACTTGTCATCACCACTAATGAGATTGCGAAGCCATTCGTAGTTACGATGAGATGTCAGTAAATCCATACAAACATCAAGTCGGTATTGAAGCCGATGGGCCGATAATTCATGAGGTATCCAAACCCCATATTTCCACGTCTTTCCTAATTCATTCAGATATGTTTCCACCGTGGTATGAGAGCATTCGAGTTTCTCTGCTAAACAGCGTGTCGTTAACCGAGGATCGTCTTCAATGAGTTGTTTTAATTGATCCAAATCCACTTCGACTTGTCTTCCAGAGCGAGTTGAATCGTCCAATTCAAAATTCCCATTGTTGAACCGATTGAACCAACGATGTGCCGTACGTATAGAGATAATATCCTGACCCATTGTGCGGCATATGTTGTTTGTCGCTTCCGTTGTTTTATGACCCAGAAGGAATTCATGAAGTAAAAACACTTGAATCTCTCTCCGAGAGAGATTCATTTCTGTTTCATGATCCACATTCATATCGATAACAGTTATATTGTTCAATAGCTATTCACACTCCCTTTATATATCCTTCACATAGAAACTTCCAGAACATTCTCGAACGTTCTATGAAAATTTTTAAAAAACGACAAAACTTTCTTGCCAACCCAATAATTAACCTAAAAGACTTTCGTTTTCAAATAGCACAAGCAATCTCTTTTTTCTATTGGATAAAAGTGTAAATGTGTGAATCCTACTATCAACTTGAATAATGTTCCCGTTACTAATAACAAACATAATTGTATCCTCAATTTTATATATGCATAGAAATATACAATTTATTTCATGTGAAAATGGTAGTAGACGATTTAAATAATAGATTAATTTTTTTATGGCTAAATAATAAAATCTATTAAATGAATTTAATCTTAAAAGAGATTTCCTAGTCTAGTGTTAAATAGGAACTGATGCATAATTTTCGCACAGACATTGTAAGAAAGTAATTAATAGGGACTTATAAATCATTTTTTATTTTCTTTCAAATCCAGATAGTATCGTAATGATTTCAATACATAAAAAAAATTCTATTGGAGATTAATTGATAAAAACGAATGACAATAATTCATGATAAGACCTTAAAAACTTTGCAAATAAAAAAAAGGAAGAAATGAATGAACATTTACAAATGAAAAATGATCCCGTACTCATCGATCTTAACTTATTTTTATATAATATCTTACATAGATATTGATGGAGATTTATCGATATCAAATTTATAACGTTTCTTGGTTTCTATATAATATATTTTGCATTTGTTTCTCGAGGAAATGATGTATTTAATATTCACATTTAAAGCTGTCTTGCTAATTTCACTGCTGTATTCTATCAACAATCAACATATAAATATATCAATATTATATTAAGATTATTAACGAGAGGAGCTTGATATAAAATATAATCGCTTTCAAAATTTGCAACGATCAAGATCAATCTTTAATAGATATTTGAAGTAATCAACGAAAATTTTTTCTATTTGTTTCTATTTTATTTTCACTGACGTCATATTGTGTTGCATGGTTCTGAACATACAAAAAAAATGTACTACTATCCTCTTCAAGTACATTTCTTTCATTGTGAACCATGTAGGGTATGGGTGTGGGTGTCGGTGTAGGTATGGGTATCGGTGTGGCTATGAGTGTGCATGTGGGTGTCGCTGGGTGCAGCTGAGTGTTGATGGCTATGGGTGTAGGTAGGCGTAAGAATAAGAAGTACTCCTACACCCGTCCACACTCACACTCACACCCACTCCGCTGCTAGCTTCAGCGAGCCTAAACTTCAAAAACGGCCGGTTTATTTTCTCTTTTCGAAATAAAGAAAAAAAGTTAAATTTTGCTTTTCACGATTTCAATGATTCTTTTCACTACAGCAACATGTGGATGTGTCAAAGGAAGTCACGCTTTCCAAATTTCTTGGGATTTTTCGTAATATTCAAGTGATTTAGGGTACTTGCCGATGTTACTATACATCATACCGATGTTTGTTCTAGGAAGAAACCAAGTTCGGATGGTTCGGATGAAGAGCTAGTTTCTTGATTTGGGTGAGGTGGAGGTGTGGGTGTGGTTGTCAGTGTGAGTGTGGTTGTCGGTGTGAGTATGTCGTTGTGGGTGTGGGTTTTGGGTGTGAGATGAAAAACACCCATATCCACACGCACATCCCACACCCACACACCCACCCACACCCACACCCACACCCACACCCACACCCACACCCACCCACACCCACACCCACACCCACCCCACACCCACACCCACACCCAA